CTCAGTAAATTCGAGATTCCTGTACATTTTGCCTCCACACTTATCAGACCCAGGAAACCTTTTCTATAACGACTTCATGGAAAACTATAGTTGGTCTTCTTCGAACCCCCATCTAGCAGAAGCATGTAACACTCTAGATCTCGCAAAATAATCTAGATCCGCGTTCGTATCTGAGATTGGTTTTTCTTTTGCTATGCAAAGTCGTGTATCTGGAGTCATCCTTAAAATTTAAGGAATGTGTGGCCGCGATGTGCGCAGGGAGGACGTTTTGAATCCGTTCATCTGCAGAACGAGCTTGTAGAAATATTGAGCAAAACAAGTGGGCTGTACTTATGTGTTTGTCCTTCTATTACAATAAGAAACCTAGACCATAATGCTTGGCATCATGTGTGAGAGTGCGCCGTACTCTCGCCAGCTTGCTTAGTTATGCTCAACACGTGTACATGGAATTAGTGCGATCGGCAGCGGTCGGGCTGAAATTTCCATCTAATTTTGAACGTGGATCATTTCGCCACTACCTTTGTCATTGCGAAGGAGATAATTATGGCGTGAGTGCTCATATTCTTAATGCCGATTGCGACATTTAAGATCGTACTTGTAAACTTTGTGTAGCGGAGCTACTTAGTGCTCCTTCACAGAGGAATTCTTCGACTCAAAGAATCTCTTAGTTATCACAAACTAACAACGACGTACATTCGTTCAAGCGGAAAAGCTCAACAATCCCGATGACATGAGATTTCTATTCACAGAATCACACACTAACTGGAAGCTACTAGTTAAACAAAAAGTTAACGCCATGACAAGGCCAATGTTCTTATCAATGCACTACGCCTTGACTAGGCACTTGTGTCGAACGATTCAAAAGGGGAACTGAACTTTATTTATTCTTTATCTACGGTGATATAACCATAATACCTTGTCTGATGTCTACATTGCGATCCTATGACGAAGTCTGATCCCTACCCGATTAGGTGCGGTATTATCGCACGTACATGGTACTAAGACTAAACCACTCAGATCCACCGATATCTACTTGGTGTGGACACACAACATAATCGGTTCAATCACCGCCGTGTAACCACGTTACAGTGACAGTGCCGATGAGGTGACGATTAGACCATCCTAGGCTCTAGACTGTTGTCTCCGTCTGTCATCGATTTTTTTTCTTTGCAGCACGACAGTGACTAATTGACCAAGAAGCTGGCAAGTACCACCGAGCACGTTAGAAAGCGTGCTCAATGCGAAAGACTCTAGTGTACCATGGATGCATTTTTGGAATGGGTTCAATTTGACCCTCCTTTTAAAAATGTTTTGTAACAGGAACGAGGCAAACATGCCACATATGCTGGTCCGACATTTGGTGTACGACTGTAGCAAATTCTCATTCGTGCATCAGCAGTGTATTCGTCCGCTTTGCGCTCACAAAAGGATAGAGTAAGACCAAATATAACAACGGTGCAGTGTACGGAAATGTAAATGATGCTTATCAAACGACGACAGCCTTACTTCGTTGACCGATCCAGGTACAACACGCTCAGCACAGCTCAGCCCAGCAGGCCCGTGATAACTGCTTCCATGTTACCTTCGTGCTGCGACAGCAGAGCCAAGTTGCGCATCTCGTCCGTGAAGCCCATGCTCACCAGAACCTGAAGCTCGTTTGACCATCGAAGGACCTCCTTTGTCTCGGTTTTGACCACAACGGGCGCCGGAGCAGTTGAAACTTCAACCCCTGTCAAAATGACCGCCGCGGAAGCGTCATCAACATGAACCTCTGCCGCGTCGGTGACACTGGGCGCCAGCTCTTCTGGGTCCATCACATTGATGTCCACCCAAAGGCGCTGCCCAAAGCGGTTTCCATCAGGCGTGCTTAGCCGCCAGTAACCAGTATAACGACCAGCCTTTGCCGGGGCCACCATGCGCAACGACACATCAATCGATTTACCGGGTAATACTGACGGAATCAGCACGCTCTCAGGAGCTTGCATCTTGTCACCGCCTACACACGAAAGCACAGCTCCTACAGGCCACTTGGTAGAGCCCCCATTGCGCAGTTTCCACACCTTGTCAAAAGCCTCTCCTGACGAAAGAATCGTACCATCTGGGCAAGTGACATCGCCCTCAAAAACCGCCACAACCGGTCCTAGATCCTGTTTAGTCTCTTCCATCGTAATCGTCTCAAAGTAGTCGCTCACCGACATGAGCTGCGCGTTATGACTGTACTGCACTTGCTGCAGCACTCGCTCCACCTGCACACGGGCATTTGGGCACTTGGCCAGCAGGATCTTAGCAACCTCTTCCAGGTCTCCAGTACCAGCAACTGCTACTAGACACTCGGTAAAATTGCCATTCTTCTGGCACTCCTCCGTCACCGTCTGAAAGAGCGTTGCAAACTACCCACAACCATCAGTCAGTCAGTCAACAGTAAGACAAACCCTGCAGATACCCTCTTTTTCACCCGACTTTGCTCCACACAGTACACACTTACCTTTGCATTGGCCATAATCTCCAGCAACGCTTCTTGACATCCAGGTTCGTGCAGCAACGACACCAAGTCTCTCTTCAGCGTCTCGTGCTCACCATGTGCACTCCACTGCTCGACGACTTTTCCAAGATCCACAAACAGATCCGACATCTGTTTCGTCTGTTGACTTGCCAGCATCTCGCCCGTGTCCCGAGGCACAGCAGCACCCACAGCGTGATCGCTACTGCAGAGTCGCTGACCCTCCACAGCTTCCTCATCCATCTCCATCTCCCGCATTGTAGCCACGACAATGATCTTGCACACGGCGCTGCCAGCGTCCATCCCGGCTGCAACAGCCAGTTCCCGCATCAGACGAAACGCTTCATCCAGCTCCACGTCGTTCGTGATACGCACTTGTTCCTGGTCGTCGTCAATGTAGTAGAGACGTATCTCGCACAGCGGCACCTTGAGCTCGGGGAAGATCCAGAGCACGTAGTCGCGCAAGTCGCAGAAGCTCAAGTGCTCCGTATTGATGCCGGCAGAAGAGCGGCCGTGCAGCGACGCGAGCGTCTGGTGCACAGCCAAGACCTGCACGCGACGCATGTCCTTCTTCGCTGCCCACGAGATCTTGAGCGTCGTCATGGGGATGCAGATAGACCTTAAACACAAAGGCAGATAAACCTTAAACACAGGGGCGGCAAAGTCCTTCTCTTCAGTGCGTCAGTTCTTCTTCTTTGAGGACGAAAAAGTGCTTGTGCGGAGTGCGAGAGAGAGAGAGACGTGTGTGGATGGATAAAGAGCATGTGATAGGCTGTACGATAGGTTCTTCGGATGCTTGGAAACGTCGCGGTGGGTATGAAAAAGACGAGTTCTACAGCCGTGTCGCAACTTTGTGGTTGTCGTTAAGTGCTAGACTGCTTTGATGACCGTTAAATTGCGTTTTAGGTTTTTATCATGCTGATGCGATGCAGGTTAATGGCGATTGTTATATCAGCGATACTGTTGAGTTTCGTTGTTGACAAAAAGCGCGACATGGTAGCCTAAATAAAAAGGGGTCTGTGACGCACACTGTCGACGTTGGTATGGTAAACCATTTGTAAATGCATTGTCTTTTGCAGATTGATGGTAAGTGTATCCTGATCTGTTTGTGGCTAGGAAGCTTGGAGATGGTGGACTCTGTTGTTAGTTGTTTGAATGACGAACTGGCTCCACGATTATTCACAAGGAGACGACTTGTGGCGATGTCACTCTTCGTTCTCAGCCCGTGTATTTTCGCTCATATTTTCACAGAAATGATTTCTATTGTTCAAGTCTATCATATAGGTCCTTCCGGTACGGAAGTTTGTCGCGCACGTGCTCTCCTACACTGGTAGCAGAAAGTGCTTGACTTGCAAGCTTCAGAAAGACTGTGTCATGATAAATTACACTGCCGTACCTCGCTAGCTAAAGCTGCCCGTTGACCAAGCTGTTCTCCTTACCGGAGCCAACCCATCGATCAACTCCAGACGAAAGTCCCGTGATACAACTAGAACCGCGATGTGGGAAACACGACAAGCGTATACGTGCTCGTGTACAAGAAACGGACTACCGCGATCATGGTGGCAGCAATACGTGATTTCCCGATCATTTTGGGGCATTTGCAAGGGTGACGTCAAAGTAGAACAAGCTTACACTCAGCTTCACTGTTGTCCCGCGAGACACATACCAGCACGCACAGATAGGCCGATCAAGTAGACGGAGGGTCCTATTTACCGTTGACGATTAACTTCTCTGTTTGAGGGAAGTGGCGTTTGGGTTCATTCAAGATTTTACTGGTAATTCATGTCAGACGGATCGACATGATGTATGTTTGCCTTTGAGATCCCGCTTCACGAGGTTCATCATCCGACAGGACGAGGCATCCGTCACAATTGGACGATTAACAGCAAGTTGTAAATCGATCATAATCGTGTCGTCGAAGCGGTTTCCGGCCCAAGGTTGCTTGTTCTTTCCGTAGCAAATGAAACGTCCGATGAATACGAGAGTCAAACGCGGAAAAAGTCTACCAGTCACCCGGCTGAGCCGGAGATTCGATGTGAAGTCTAAAAAACTGCAAGCCGACACAATTCGTGACGAGGTACAAGGTGTTTGAACTGTACACGATTAAGTTCCGATACATGGTCGCCCTATAGCTTTAAGGTCCAGCTTACGGTGAATCTAAGTACGATCAATGTCGGTAAGAGGCTATACGCTAGCATTGAATCGGTTCTTTATGTTCGACACATCGGCGTACGTTGATGTCGAGTTCATCATTAAGTAGGCAGTCGATCAGTTACGTACATAAAAGCTCAGCGGGAGTTTGCGTGCTCTATTTATGGAAATTTTGAACACACTAACATGAGCACTCAGATGTATGGGGACGCCGATCACGGCAACAAAGCTGACCAACGCCAAGATGATCTTGACAATTGAAACATGTCCCGAAAGAGCAAACCTGGAGGGCCGCATTTTTCTTAGCGACCGAGTTGACTGGACTGTCCACGACATCGACTCAGAGACTTCAACGCGTACAATCTACCGGCCTTCTGATCTCGATAAACGGTGCGAACATCTTTGTCCACCTACCGCTCGCCTTGCAAGCTTCGCAAAAGTCAATATCACGGACTACCGTCGATTTGTAGCGTATGCCCACAATCGGACCCATACCACATCCGTCGCACTTAACACGTCGGTGAACCGCAATTCCAGAGGTACATTTGGATGTTGGCGCGCGCGACGAATCCTTGATCTTGATAAACGGTTCGCGGCTCACCCATTTGCCACCGGCTTCACAGTCTCCACAGACATCAAAATTCGGCTCTTCGAGAGACTGGCAGCGAACACCCAAGATTGGCACTTGCTGGCAACCATCGCACATGATTCCACAATGCACCGGTATGTCTCGAAAATCAACCATCTGATCTTCTTCGCCAGAGCCACTGCTGGCTTTAGGCAATTTTAGCCTATCAACAGCCGCCCTTTCATTGCCCAGGCGGACAAGGCTTGTTATACACTGTTTGACACCTTGCACCAGCAAAGGCTTGAACGCTGGGCAGCGAGACACAACACGCTGAAGGAACAAAAGAGCCCACCAAAGTTAGCCGTGGTCGCCTCTACTACCGCGTGAGCATCGCCTTGGGAAACGGCCGTCTCCACGACGTCCACCAAGTGCATAAACTCGTCACAAGCACACAAGTCTTCTGCGACCTTTGTGACCTCTTCACCTTGCAGTGCCGCGAGCAGGTCCTTCTTGACTTGGATCAGTTCCACAAGATTTTCTGACAATTTATCGTCTCCAGACGATCCGCTAATAGCTTCGTTGCGTTAACTGGCATAGATTTCTTGGCGTCCATATCTTTTGTCGCCTTCACGATGCTCAGCAGATGCTTCGGTGCCGCATTCTTTGACGCAGATCCAACCCGCGCGACCAGCACCGTAACTCGCTCCAGCCCCTCTTCAACCATGTAGTCAACCAGTTCCTTCACATCCGCATCACTAGCAACTGTCACGGCGTCACCGTCGGAGTCCGTGTAGTGCACCGTTATTGCATCATCGCTGGCCAGTAACGCAGCCGTTGCTGACTTCAACGTAGCCATTTGCAGCTGCTCGCCGATCTCAGATGACAGCGACAGTGGCATTCGCTTGCCGTCGTCTCGTGATAGCCGAATTGACGCTGACATTTGTCCTCACGCAGTTTTGTGCGTCCTAGTCAATGTGAGCAGGACCGAAGAATTTGAGAAATGAAGGTGGCTGGACCAGGGCTGAAAAAACGATCGGGGTTTTGATTTTTTTACAATCAACTTGAGTTTAAGCTAAAAACAAACATGGTTTTATTCGGCTCGATGAGCGGGCGCCTACTGAGAAGAAAGATTGCCGGAATCGTCGAGCTCCTCGTGCACGTCGTCGTAAAAATTCGGCGACTTGCTCTTGACGAACGTCATTTCGTCGACGTGTTTTGGGTTGAAACAGTTCCCCATGGTTGAGTGCATACATCCAAATGTCATGGAGTTTCTCTCAGAGGCGGCAGTCGACGTCGTCAACCTGGAAATGTTGATAGCAATCTAGCGCAGATCAGACCACAACTTGACATCGCCCAACCATTCTGAAACATGGTCTTTGTGCCATAGTCTAGCATCTTGAATTGCGTCGAGTCCTCCATCTTCTCTTGTTCGGCCACAATCACGAACTCGGTCCACTAAATGATAATGGTCTGCGCTCGTTTTTTACCGGATGAATCACAGGGCTCAGCATCGACAGAAAAATTTTATAGGAATTCCTCCAGCTGTTGCGACTGCCCCTCGGTCGTTTCTCTCCGATATGGCAGCGTCATTGAGGAGCTCATCAAACAGGCTTTGAAAAACGACGATAGCGACATTGTAGTAAGTACGACTTGAAGGTGCTAATATTAATCGGGGAAAAAATAGGTGCAGTAGAGTGTCCATAATAATATGTTTTTTGATTTTTTTTATCTCCTTTACTTAATAATAATGTCGAGTCTCGTGTTGAACCCAGGCCGAAAATAAAAACTCTCTTAATTTGTATCAGCAAAGCTGGAAATTCTGTTCCGCCATTCATTATTAATCTACTGCCGGGGTGTAACGGGGTGAATCGTTACATAACAATTTATAAGAAATAGTTAATTGAATATAACTATAAGAGTTATATTCTCAGAATATTGTCATAAGGACAAATCTTCTGTAGCACTTACGAGTAGTTCCTAATTGGTTGATATAGGCCATTATATCAACCAACGAAGGCGCGCCACGACAGACGCACGCAATGAGTGGTGAGCAGATAATTGATTTACACATTTGTATTTAGACATAGTTAGATGAAGATAAATAGTGATTTATTGCAGACATTAACTATACTAAATACAGTTCTACTTTTTACTTTGACCAAGTACTCGCTTCTTCTTACCGTCTTCCTCTGCACGTACGAGTGTACGTGAATCTCCGAGGCACCGCCTTATTCTGTCATCAGAACAAGTAGCTTGTACTGTCATCAGTACAAGCTTCAGGGTGCCCAGTTACACCTGGTAGCACATTCGTAGTCCGTCCAAGGACCGCGTTCACATCCAACATGAATATGTTGGATGATGAAGATGACCAAAGCTTTCACGCTACGCGTGACGGCTACTCCCATTTGAGCGATGTCGAATGGGATGCGGTTGAACGGATGGGTTCAACCATGGGCATCCATGCTGTTAGCGTCATGCTAGATGCTCTCAATAGAGATGCCCAAAATGCTACTATCGCCAAGTTCATTCAAAATGAACTTGACGCTGAACGCGAGAAAGTAGCCTTGCTTCGCCAACAAGGTTCTCAACAAGCAGAGTTGTTGAGAGAACAGGGTGCTCAACAGTTTGAACTGTTGAGACAGCAGCAGGCTGCTGCTGGCGGGTCGATGCACTCGCGTCGACCCGAGACCTTGAATATTGACATCTCCAAGTATAGGGGAGTCGAAGAGGACTCCCTCTTGAGATGGTTCGTCGAATTGGATGACGCCATAAGGGCGCGTCGCATCGACTACGGGGATATGCAAGTTGCATTTGCCCAATCAAATCTGGCAGGACGTGCCAAGACTTGGGCTTTGGGGCTCAAGTTGCACGACCCATATGCGTTTGGGTCGTTGGAAGTCTTCAAGTCGCGGCTCAGACAAACGTTTGAACCGCCTAGAGCTGAGTTCAGAGCTCGAACTGAACTCTTGAAGCTCAAGCAAGGTAAGCGTGATGTGCACGCTTACGCGCAACATATACGACATCTCACGAGTTGTATAAGTTCCAACCCGGTTGATGAACACACTTTGGTTTCGGTGTTCATGCAGGGTCTTGCGGATGGTCCCGTCAATAATCACCTGTTCCGACTTGAGCTAGATTCACTAGAACAAGCTATTTCCATTGCGGAACAGAAGACTTCAGTCTGAGACAGGCTCGCGCCAGCTCGACATCATATCGTCCACCGAGACGACATGACAGCGGAAGTCCAGAGCCGATGGAACTCTGTTACGTAGAGAGCGAGAAGGCTCGCTCTACAGACTGCAAGAAGTTGCAGAAATGCAACAGATGTCAAAAGACAGGACACTACGCTTACGAGTGTAGTGCCCCTCGTCCAGTGTCTCGCAACACTGGGCATAGTGACCGTTCACCCATGAGAAAGGGGCAGTGACGAGAGTCCGCCGTTGGTGCAAAGACGCAACAACGGGATGGACCGTCAAAAAAACGGACAGGATCAGTAGGTGTGGAGCACCCTACTGGTCCAGCAAACTCAAGAGAATTTGTAGGCCTCTTGATGAAGGTTGCTCCCAACACACAAACGTTGTGCGTTGCTGCTCCAGGTAATGAAATCTCACTCATTACCTTGAAACTCGAAGTAATGAATAAGTTGTCCCTTCGAGCTCTAGTCGATTGTGGGGCGTCTAACAATTTTGTGCGACGCCAATCGCTAGAAGATGGTCATTTTAAGTTCAGTGAACGTGGCACACCTCCTACGAGGATGACGGTACGTCTTGCGACAGGCGCATCCGTAACCGTCATGAAGCGTATAGTGAGGATCCACTATACGCTAGAAGATACCCAATATGACGATGACTTTATCGTATTAGATTTGGATGACAAATTTGATGTCATCCTTGGAATACCGTGGCTCAGAGGGTACGAACCACGGGTAAACTGGCAACATCGAACAGTAACGATGCCTGCCGCTTGTTCATCAGATGGCCATCTGATGAACATTTTGGAGCGTCCACAAGCGTGTGGATGTACTACGAGTGAGTGTGATGGCCTCACTTGTGGTACGGTTGTTAATACGACCGCACAAAACCTTAGTGTACCAAACGGTTACACTTCGGAGCAAAGTTCCGGCGGCTGTGAGGAAACACAGGCTACGCCGAAGGTCCAGCACTCGAATAAGTCGAGTAGACCGGGACAAAGATGTATCCCTAGCGGGGAACATCTAGAAGAGAAACAATCGATCGCTCAGGTTAAGCGAAACGATAATCCTAGATCGACTGGAGAGTCTTTCGTAGAGGATCTCGATGTGGTTGCGCAACCCCAGCTAGAGGAAGTAAAGGGAATAAGTCCCAAGATTACAAATACGGCGGAAATAAGTTCCCCGAAACCCGCGGGAATAAGTCCCCGGAAAGACGAAGGAATAAGTCCTTCGAGGCCTGAGGGAATTAGTCCCCAGGAATTGACAGAGACATTGAATGTCATAGTCAATAACGGATCAAGTGTAGGCGCTTATACACTTGATCTGATTGCGCCTCCGAAGTTGACTTCGGAGATCACTCAGTTGCCAACGCTCGAACATAAAAGGTTCTTGCGTGATCTGCGTAGTGGCAAAGTCAAGCAGATCTGCGTGCTCGTCGCTGACGACGAGTGTGTAGCCGACATAAGGTCAGCAACAGTGTTTACTGAGAACGAGAGAGTTCTCAGTAGTTCATCTATGGACGAGAGTGTCCTAGATGAAAAGACACGAATTGAGCGATATGAGTCCCAATCATGGGAATCGCTCAAGGAAAATCCTCTCTATGAAGATTTGGTTGAATTCAAGGATGTATTCCCTGAAACTGTTCCGTGCGAATTACCGAAGGATAAAGGTATTCGACACGAAGTCGAGCTTAAACCAGGCTCGAAGTACTGTGTCATGAAGCAGTGGCCACTGCCTCGTGAACAAGTACTTGCGATCGACAAGTTCTTTGCCGATCGTTTAGCTGCGGGCCATGTGAGGGAATCAACTTCCCCACATAGCTCTCCAAACTTCTGTGTGCGAAAAGCAACAAGAGGGTGGCGGATAGTGCACGCGTTCAACAAATTGAATACTGCAACGGTACCGGCTCAGACGCCGATACCAAGGAAGGACGTAATCATTGATGGCATGTCAAAGAGTACCATCTTTTTGTCCACGGATTTGATGGATGGCTTCTATCAAATCCTTATGCGAGAAAGGGATTTACCCTATACCGCAGTAAGCACGCCTAGCGGCATGCTCTGGGAATGGCTAGTAATGCCACAAGGGCTTAGTAATGCCCCTACCACGTTCAACAGATGCGTATCACATCTGTTGAGACCAGTACGAGAATTCGCGCCGAGTTATTTCGATGACGTATTCATCCACAGTCGGGCTATGGATGGAAAGTCGGACGTTGAGGTTCACAGGTACCACGTCCGACAGGTTCTTGCAATCATGCGAAAGCATCAGTTGTATGCCAACCTCAAGAAGTGTACATTTGCAGCAAGCGAAGTACCACTTCTTGGGTGTATCGATGGTAAGAACGGTGTACGTCCTGATCCCGAAAAGATCAAGGCGATCACCGACTGGCCTGTGCCGGTTGATGTCAAAGGTCTTCAAAAATTCCTTGGGCTAGCGGCGTATTTGCATAAGTATTCACGCAATTACGCCGAAATGACTGTGCACCTCTCTCGTTTGTTGAAAAAGAACGAGAGGTGGTTATGGAACGCTGAATGTCAGCGCTCCTTTGATGGTATCAAGCAGAGCTTGATACAATCCCCAGTCCTAGCAATAGCCGATCAGGACAGGCCATTTCATGTGGTCTGTGATGCCATTGATTTCGCAATCGGCTGTGCATTAATGCAGTGCGACCTAGAAGGCGTTTAACGCGTCGTCTGCTATCAGTCGCGTCAGCTGCAACCAGCTGAGCGGAACTATCCAGTGCATGA